GTGTGTCTACTGAAAGGTGTGGGTGGCCCCAGGGAAGGCGCCAAAACCGAGAGTCAAGCAAGATCTCCACACAAGAAAGGTTATGATCTGCGTTTGGTGGGACTGGGTAGACATGGTGCATTGGGAAACTGCTCGAACGGAACGCCGCTGTCAACGAGGAGGTCTACATTACCCAGCTAAACAGTAAAAATGAGGCTATTCGGCTGAAAAGACCTTATAGAGGTGGTCAAGTCATCTTGCTCCACGACAACACCAGGCCCCATATTGCTCAAGTCGTCAAAACAGCACTCCAAGAGCTTGAATGGGAGGTTCTTCAGCATCCACCGCACTCTCCGGATCTTGCACCTGTCGACTATCACCTTTTCCGCTCTATGTTAAACCCAATGGGTGTGTTACCTTCGATGGCGAAGGGGACCTTAAAAACTGGCTCAACAAATTCTTCGACACCACAACTGCCGATTTTCGGCGAGTCGCCATCAACAAATTGGTCGAGAGATGGAAGGAGGTCGTGAACAGTAACGGAGGATACATCATCGGTTAATTTATTATTATAATTGTTTTTTGGTTCAAATAAATCTTTGTGAAAAAACTCCACGAACTTATGTTACAACCCAATACTACTTTGAGCATTCAAGAATCCCTTAGTTGTTGAAATCCATAAAGCGAATTCTCACGTAAAATTAGGAATTTCTGGCTCACATCAGGTGTTCTCGATGCAATATGCACCATAGCAGCTGTTCCCAAACTAAATCCTATCAGTATAATGTCTTTGGGAACGTAGCCTAAATCTTCGGTGGCGTACCTGTAATTCTGAGCAATTTAGAAAGGAATACAACTTGCTGTCGACCACATTCTTTGTAACCCATGTGAAACAATGGGCATCCAGAGACAGAACCATTCGTGGGGTATGGAAGTCGACCCATGGGGACTGTCTCGAGAATGAGCTTTAGACTGATGATTTTCTAACTTGGATGGTAGAACTCTTGAATCACATTTCTTTTCCTCGACTACGCAGTTGGATAAGGCATGGCTGTCAGGGATAAGAACGATAAGGAGGAGCCTAACCAGTAAGGTTGGAAACAACGCCACCCACTAAGCTTCGGCAGGGGGTTTGAACTTACTTGTACACTCTGTCGACACTGTCATATACTGTTTGTTCCGTAGCTTCTCCATCACTGATACCATAACCAGCATAATCGAACACAAGCAAGTCACATCGGAGAAAGTCCGCTATGTCAGCCTGTAAAGACAGATCTCTTCTACCAGGGCTGAACAATTGCTCCGCGGAGTTGGGTTGAGAATGGCTTGTTCTTACTATCCCATTCCGAGACCAGAGGGAACCTATTGAATTGAGAAACTGCTTTGATCGTGTTTTGCACGTGAATGCAGCAGTTTGTGGCCCCAACAGAGCGCTATTAACTCTCAGGTCGAAAGACAACAAGGAGATACTCACAAAGTTAGGGTCCATCAGCATGCAACATCCAATATCCGAACTGTTAGGCTGTGCAAATATGATCAGCTTTGGTGATCGAGTCCTAAACAGTCGCTTGAATCTGTTCTTGATCAGGTACTCCATTACCTACTGTACTATGGGAGCACCTCAGTCATGATTTAAATTGGCAGTATCTCGTTGTATCCATAGCTCCATGTTCTCCGTGGATCTATGGCTCAAAACACTCTGCGCACCGGTAATGGCTTGGAGCAGTTGTCAGTAGACCAGAGTCCAGGCAGGAAAACACCTTGTCAACGTAGCATTCCAAGGGGAATAGGGGCACGGACGCTTCCACCAGAGATTGTACGCAATAATATATTTGCTAGTTGACCAGGGGTCGCGGCTTGCATAACCCTAAGACGACAGAAGTCTACCGGAACTAAGCTGCGCTAACTGAATGGTAGCCTGGACTACGCCATCCACATTTCCTAGATATGCGGTGTTTCTATTACGGTTTGCACCCGTGATGTTGCTGATACTGATTGTGAGTCTGGAATAGGCCTGGCACCCCTTTATTTGTAATTTCGGCCCGAGACGGCACATGGTTCCGGTGTAATTGCGAGTACCGCAATAATTGAGACGATTGATGGTCCACACTCTTGAGAGGTTTCGTGGAGAATGAACATCTACCGAGCTGCGCACTACTAAACAATACCAAACTTCGAAGTATCTATTTTCGTTTGATGGTGAGAATGATAAGCCCTCCAAACCCAACTGATGGCGTGAAGCATGTCTAGAGCTATGTTTTTCTATGAGTAACAGATTGAGGAGGAGGACTTCATAATGCTGCCGATTCGATGTCACCACAAGAAATTGAAGATTGGTATCCCATAGCTGCTGGCGAAGCACACCATCACATCATACCTTCGGTTTTCTGTTCTTCGTAGCCACTTTTCTGTTTGTTCGCACATTATCTCCATTGCACATATCCGTAAATCCTCGTACAACTTCAATATCACTGGCTGAAAGTAAGCTCTCTTATGCTCTGTGAGCCAGTCAAGAAGTATGCATCCGACGTGAGAAGGTCTCTCGAAAAGCATCCTGCTCTCAGATCCAGCTTGCTAACGAAGCAATGAACTACTTTCGAAGTAGTTGGTGTGCCCCTTAACAGAACATCGGCGTGCCTGCGCGGTAGGTCTAGACGACGTCATAGCAAGCGACTTCCGTCAATGGCCGGCATTGTAATCACCACGCGCAAAAGGAAAAGCTTTTTCGAATTGTTGCGTTTTGTAGTTTCTCACTCTACTCATGTATCATTGCATGTTTTTCAGTCGTTTGACATTTTGAATACTTCGTAAAAGGACTGGGTAACAGTACTGTACCATTACGTTTAGTGGGCCCGATCGCGCTCTGCGAAGGTAAAGATTCGTTTTTTTTGTCGCTGGAAGGTTACGGTAATTGCCACGAGACGACTTCAGCTTACCAGAGAAATTCGTGCAAATATCTGCCAATGGCCACAGCAGCGACCATTCTTCGGAAGCCTGCCGTAATGACGTCATTCTCACGCTGCGCGTACGCGCGCGAATCTTTTACACCTTGTTCCATATAGAGGAATAACTACCTTGCACCGAAGAATATGATAGTAGATATCAATCGCTTTCAGTTTCTTCCGTAAAAGATGTGGTAGGCATATTTGCAGGTTCTTGACTCCTTCAGCGTCACGGGCAGTNAGAAAGTAGTACTCTCCCTTTGATGGTGCTCGAAATGCGATTTTGTGAATAATCCACGGTGGCCATGGAGGACAAATGATATAGAACAGACCACCTATTACGTGCAGGACTCGCGTTACCGTTTTCAACATTCGTGGCTTACGATCTAGCTGAAAAGTTTATTTCAATGATAACTGCTAGTCGACTCTTTGTAGTTTCTTTTTGATCGAAATGAAAATCTATTAGAACTGTCTTCCATTAATATGTCCCTACTTGAGCAGGAGCGGCTCAATTGATTGAGTAGGATCGGATCCTAGTAATTGGGTGATGCATGCCATTCAAGCTGTAGGAGAGTTATAGCTATTGGACTGTTAAATAAGACATAAACTCTAAAACTGGGCAGATTCCAGATGGGAGCATTTGATGATAGCCGTCGATGCCCGGTGTGGTATCTCCTCCCCCCAAGATCGCGTCGCACTTGCCGCATCCGACCGCGCGCAAGCGCACGCTCTGAGGTTTTGATTCCCCACTAGGGGAATACGGCAGTCGCCGCATAACCATTGCGGCTTGCCATGGAACTCGGTAAGAAGTACTGTCATCCGTCGGCTCTTAGCTCCTATTGGAAGCGCGACCGTGCGCTTCTACAGGGCTTACTTTCAACCCAGTCTTTACCGGGCCATATGTTTTTTCTTTCTATAAAAGGGCTAATTCGATTCATTGACATCAACAGTATGTTTCAATAATCAAATGAGCAATTTTTCGAAAACGGTACCGTTTCACTCCATACTCGATCATGAGCGGGACAGAGTTCACGCTTCATTACTCGTAGTCGATGAGCTGAATAAGATCATAAACCTTTTGGAACTCTTTCAGTGCAGGGTTTGAATTCATCAGAATGAAAACATTCAGGGTTTCCGTACTAATCCTATTGAGTATCATGAGCTTTTTACTAAAAAACATTACCATTTTCAAAGTCCTCGTAAATGTCCATGTATTCGCTTGAACTCAGTGACATTGCAACCTATAAGCAAGGCCGTACTGTAGTTCCCGATCGATGCAAGTGTTCATTTGTTGTGGTTACCGTGGAGGTTTGGTCGTACGTGAATTCTGAATGCACATCGCCACATAGTTCTCGTCCAGCCCTGAAGAGTGAAGCATTTTTCAAAAGCGAGTACTACACTGGGACAGCTTCTGCTAACATAGAAGGTAGGAACGTGCCCTGTAACCTTTGTTCTTTTATCTATGGTTTCAGTAGTTAATGAGAAAACGTACGTGGATCTTGATTCCTTGAATCGCTTGAACTCACTCTTGTTCTGAAAATAACCATAGATAAGCTGCATCAGCGCTAGTAGATGGGAATACTGTTTTTCTAATGATTTCTAGTGAAGGAGATATTGAGCCTCTAGTCATGCAGTAGGGGCCTTGTGCTGATCATCGAGGAAGAGAACAGGTTGTCTGAGCATTTCACACTTTCCGAATCTTTCGATTGACATCAGACTTAATTCGAAAAGAAACTTTGACTCAAACATTAGCTGGCCTACACACTCCATCGCTTCCATGGATCCGGATGCTAATCGGAAATATGGCGCTCGCAAAAAGTTCGGAAGAATCGACTTTTTCATACACTTTTGTTTGCGTTATTACAATTTAAAACTCAATGCAGCAACTTGGGCTAGATGAACTTCGGAGGATCTGTCATGCTTGTGGTTTCCATTCAAAGTCGTGGATCTGCTCCGATACATATGTCTGCAATCTGTCGGCCGTCCCAAGCTAGTGAAACACTCCTCAACTTCCCGTAACGCGAACCCTGGTTATGAGGATGGTGTTGGGAGGGGTTCCCTAAACTAGTACATCGTTCAGGAAGATGGAAACGAACGGTGAATTCGATTCGTAAATAGCTTTGGTTATGCACAACACTTTTTGAGCAGACAGTGTCTAACACTTGAAGTACGACATTAGTCTGAATATAATGATTCCTTAATGGAGCGGTCGGGTGGGTATCCTAGGTCGTTACAAGATCTGAACGTATGCAGTACAAAGACGGAAGGACCAACCAGTAACATTTAATCGTATAAAGTGGGGCTAACCACATCCTTTGATCAGCAGCATTTGATACTCCTTACTGGAATGATACAACCTTCTTTCCTCGGTTCTTTGTTGATCAACAAATTGGAAAAGCTCATGGCTTTCCTTCTCCATTTCACAATGATTCCTCAACTTTCGTGGTTTGGTAAGATTCTGCTGCATGCTTAACAAATAAACTTGTAAGGGATAGAGCACAGTCACTGGAAAGCAAACGAACGGTTTCAAGTCGTCGATGAGTTCGGGGGTGGGGCCCATATTATGCCCTATCTATTGAGTTTGTCGCCCCGACAGCATCCTTTGTGTTACCCTCGGGGTCGACTGGGTAGTTGTATGTAGGAGGAAATCGTGGAAACTACTTTTATCGTGTACTGTGCCTTTACCTTCGATTGTACTACCTTATGGATATGTTAGGGAACAGCCAAGTCCATTCACCGGAAAAGACCGTATGAGGAGCTTTGGCAACACTGTCCGGTGTTTAGGACTGTGATGATAACATGAAGGCATTGAGTGAATCCGTATTCCTTGCTACCCTCCCAACGACTGCTTCAGTGTATAATATTAAAAGCTCGAAATACTACCGAATTAGGGGGAAGAAACAAAGCTCAACCAGTGATAACACTTTGGGAAAATGGGAAGTTATTTATTTTCTGACAATGGTATGTCTGCCAACTCATCACCAACAAAAATAGCAAGTTTTGGCGCAGATATCCCTCGCAGTTTCACAGTTTCCTCGTTCGTAAATATCATAACAAGTCTGATCGTCTGCCTTGTTTACACACACCTGAAATCGATGGTATTTTAGAAAATTGACTTATTTTAACCATAAGATCCATGAGTTTTCTATGAGATTGAATTATTCTGCCACATTTTGCCTGCAAAACCCTCCAATATATCAAATGCCAGCTCAAATTGTTCATGTTGTATCCGTCGACCTAGTAATGTACCTGAGCGTCCTCGGCTTTTGTTGTGAAAGCGTTGAGCAGCAGAAGGGCACACACAAAGTAGAAAAGCATGATGAAATGGATGGGTGAGAAGCAATTGACTAGCTATTTATATGGTAGAACTTTTGCTAAAAACAGGTTCAATGTCATTACACTGCGACAGGGTTGCAGGTGTATCAACTGGAGCTGAGCAAAGTTTCCCCCTGAAACATTCAGGAGACAGTGTCACGGCGTAAAAATTTGCTGGACAAGATAATTCATAACTCAGGTCGTCTAACTAAGTTCAATTCAGCTCAGAGTATAGGGCCATATGTCCAGATTTTTCGGAACGCGAACTTATGTGATAAGCATTTTCAAACGTTACAGCAATGGATGTCCGGCTCTTACTCTACCCCAACTTCATGGCATATGGGAATTTTGTTGAGTAATGCCTACACACTCTAAGCGTAGCGACCAAGGTGAATAGTGCAGAGAAAAGTTACCACATATCTGCTGTTTTCCCAAGGCATCTCTTGATTGAGCAGTTGTCCTCACTATAAGTGATTACTGTAATGTCTATGATATAGCGTGTTTTTCACATTGTATGGTATCTGACAAGAATGGTGATCAAATTTCTAAATATTTGTGAAGCGTTTCGCCTAAATACAAGTGTAGATACATCTACAACATTGCAATAGTGATTCAAGATTTTATAGGCGATACAGAATTGAGTACTATTCTACTATTACACCCCAAGAACTATTCTGCTGTTACATCCCCAAGAACTCAAACTTTATTTCCGATGAAACTTCGCCCATAGGGGTAATCCGATATGATAATAATACGAATATGACCTTAATTTTTGGCGCTGGCGCCATTTGGCGTCAAATGGCGCCAGCGCCAAAAATGAATCTTATATTCGTTATCAGGACCTCAAGTAACTCCTAAACGCAAGTTTTCAGCAGATTTGGTGGAAACACCCTTGGCGCCAATTGACGTCAAATGGCACCAGCGCCAAAAGTGAAGGTCATATTCGTTATCAGGGCATCGGATTACTCCTATAGGCGAAGTATCATCGAAAATTAAAATTTTGAGTTCTTGGGAGTGTAATAGTAGAACAGTACACAGAATTGCATAAAAGAGCAATTCTTCGATTGCCTGTCATTCATAGAGCGGAACTCTGAATGCTTTTCTACTTTGCGTATGCTCTTTTGCTGCTCTACGTCGCGTATACTCTTTTGCTACTCTACGTCTTCACAACAAAAGCTGAGGAGACAAGGTAGTTTACTATGCTAATGGATCCCAGCTGTATCAGTTCGAGTGTATTTGATACAACGGAAGAATTTCAAGGCAAAAGTGCAGCAGTACAATCCTATCTCATAGAAAATTCATCGATCTCAAAATATTGCAAAATACTGCTATCTCTGAGCTTCATTTAAATTTGTTGTCGTTTTGTGTACTTTTCGAAGCTCTTTGCTCTTCA